TTATTCTTGGAAATAACATTAATGAAAGGCTTAATTTTTCATGCCCGCCAGGTTCCTGATATTCACAGGCTGTAATATAATGGGAAGAGAAAGGGAGTTGAGCTGCATCTACACACACTATACAAGACTCCTGCCATGCAAGGGCTCCATCTACAAATAGCCAGAGTGAATCACATGTAAGACAAAGTAATCAACAATTTTGAGTGATCTGGACATTACAAATACTGTTTAGAATCATAGAATGGTCTTAAAGGCCATCTGGTCCAACTGCCCTGCACTGAACAGGGACACCTACATCTGATCATGTACTCAGAGCCCCATCCAGCCTGATCTGGAGTGTCTGTAGGGACAGGGCACCCACCCAGGATACATGAAAAGTGCTCTCAGACATGTAAGTCCAGTGTTGAATCTTAAGGAATACAACCCTTTGCACTAGGGTCCCACCAGCCTGTGTCTATGTCACATCTCACAGAGCTTTATGTCCAGAGCTGAGAAAAACTTTCCAGGAAAACTTCAGAGTTCACAGATAGTTCTAGGAGTGTCTCTGCCTACACATACATCAAGTGAATGAGGAAATGCCCACGAACACCAAAATGCCATTCAGGGTCTGACAGAACAATTGGGCACGTTGGGACTGGAGTGGGAATCTGCATTTCCTGCTGGGGCATGTGTGTTTTTTTTTCCTTTTTGTTAAGTTCCTCTCCCCAGTACCCTTGTGAATATCTGGGTCAAAACCAAGTTCCAAGTTCGTGAAGGCATTTCTGGGTCCTGTTGCATTCCTATTATATTGTGAAAACTTTTGGATTTGTTTCACGTTATCCCGACTTGAACAACTCTCATCTTTTTTTATTTCTGTTGCAAATTAAAGGTCCATTTCTTCAGTGCATTAAAAGAGCATTGCTTTTGCTTTAAATGAAAGTTCATAGGATCACAAACTACCCCGAGTAACCACGGCAAAGAATTCACTATCTAACCACATCATTAATAATACTAATTATCCAGACAATACAAAAAACCTGAAATTCAACTGTAAGAGCTGAACTGCCGGAGCAGAAGTCCTCATCTGTCAAATGAAGTCAAGACATCCCCTGGGGAGACTTTTTTCAGCATTCTGATTTCTCCTTGCATCTCAAAAGGCTCTTAAGCAAAGAAATTAACTTGGTACTAATAAAATAGGTTTCCTACCAGCAGGCCATGAGTCCCATGTATGGCAACACACCTAGAGAAGCAGTGGTGGATAGCCAGATTATCAAGGTATGTTGGGCGTTGATACCCTCCTCTCTCATCGACATCTGCAGCCATGTGAAAGTGCACAGGGTAACTGCCCAGGATTTGCTGCCCCATGTTTTTTAACTCCACACCTGACATGTGCACAGAGCTAAAATTCGCCAGGATCTGTTGAGAGAAATGTAGATCCAAGTAAGTTGTTGCAACAGAAGTATACAGAAAAAGAAAAGCCTTTTTTTTTTCCTATTAAGCAATATGTTTGCAACACAAGGCAGGGCCTGATCCCACAGGGTGCCAGCTCCCCACGGTGACTCACAGCAGCACCTGCAGAGAAGCTCCAAAGAGAAGCTGCCAACCAGCATGCAAGCGTTCAGCAACAGCTGTGTGTCAATACATTAACATCTTCACAGACAAAACACCCCTACCAGCTACAGAAAGAGATAATGTTTACCAACAGGCTCTATTTCATGACAATTTAATCTCTGTCAAGTGATCTTAAGCCAGACCTGCACAGATTTCCACCAACTGGTAATGGATTTATTTTACACAAAGCTTCTGGAACAGCAGAACTTTGAACATTGACCGAGAACCCTTGGGGCAACCCAGAGAAACCAAAGCACAACAGGAGGACCCAGCACTCAGCTGAGCACTGAACGGAGCAGGTTGCTCAGTAGGTAGTACAATTCCTTTAGCAATATCATGCAACATGTGCAACTTCACATTGACCCAACTGCGATGGAGCTGATGAATCTCCTCTGGCATGGAGAAGAGCACGTTTTTGTGTACGTGGTGAACAAATGGCACAGCCCCATTGCAAGTCTCATTGCTGGCAAAGCAGGCCTGCAAACCTTCCCCACAAATATCCTTTTTCCCCCAGACATAAATGGCAGATTCATGCATTATACTGCTCATCTACAAGCCAAGAGAGGAACTAACTGAACCCACCTATAGGAATATGCTTTAAAAATCACTTACTTTAATATGTCCTCCAAACGTGTCAAAGGAGAAAAACTGACATTGATTTTCTCCATAACAGGAGTCTTCCATTTCTCCTTGGATAAGTATATTTCTAGTCAGAAGACCGACCTCTGCCCTCATATCGATGCCGTCTATGACTTCGCCAATATGAAGATAAAGTGGGCTGCCTGTGGAAATTGGAAACCTTTTTGTTCAAGTGAGCACATGTTCATTATTGCATTGCTCTAAGCAAGTGCACGCCTTTCCTTCAAGCAATCACTGAGTTTGGGACATGCGCAGCAATTAATAACTGATCCACAGGAGATCAGCACTTCCCTTGAGTTTTACAAGAGGCAGCTTCCTCAGGTCAGATTTTAAGCCCCAGTACAACACTGGGGCCTTTCAGGTCTCCTGTGACAGGGACACGTGCTTATGGGACAATATTGCTTAAGGGGCCATGGTGGTGATGGGCTGACAGGACTAGATGATCTTAGTGGTCTTTTCCAACCTTACAGATTCTATGATTTAGCTAAGAAGACTAATTAATGTAAATGTAGAATGTAAAAGACTTGACAATGTAAAGATTTACCTCAAATGAAAAGCTCAATAAAAAAAAAATCTCATACCATCAATTTTCACTTGATTGCTTTTACATTCAGGGCAAGGAAGGAGATTGAACTCCTCAGCCTGATGCATGGAATAATCCGTACTGGCAATGACGATCCTGTCACCAGGTAACCAGCTCCTAACATCATCCACTAAATGGAGAATTATTCCTTTGGACACCTCCACTTTAAACCCATTACGAGGCACTCCTGAAAAATGAAACACTCCATTATTTATTTCTTTTTTTTTTACAGTTACACATGCCAGAATAATACAATTAACTGAAGAGCCACCAATGTCGTTTTTATCTAGATAAGATCATGCGCAGTAGAAGTGCTTTTGCCATCAGTGTGTCAGTGTCATTTCCTTGCAGGTGGCAAAAGGGATACTTCATAAGAGTGCTGCTGTTAGTGTGGCCACCTTGCATATGAGCAAAATCCAATGGTACAAATTGCGCAGTTCAGATTCATAGCAGAGATAAAAGACTGAGCAAAGCAACAGAAGACAAATTGTTATCAGCAAACACAAAACCTTTTATCCATCCACTGAAAGCAGTAACAGTGAAACGGGTGCCATCGTAGGTGAGGAATTCTCTTTGGGCTACGGCTAACCCTGTTGTCCCATTCCCATGATACTCTCTCTTATCTTCCGCCGTCGAAAGCGGATCCCCTCCAAGGATCCCCACCAGCGCCCAGGGCTGCCTGTACGAGATGAGGAAGGAGAGTTTCGAGCTGCACCCCGCGACCCCAGGGAGGGACTCAGGAGAAGGCAGCGCGGCGCGGCCTCCATCCCTCCCTCTCTCCCTCCGGGCCCCTCCGCCGGGCAGCGCGGCGGCCTCGGAGCTGTCCATGGTTCCCAGACCCCCAGGGCCGCAAGTTCGAGCCCCGCTCCCGTCGCTCGCCTGCGCACTCACCTGTAGCCCAGCCGGGAGATGTGTTGGCTGCGCAAGCGATCCCGCAGCAGCAGCCGCGTCTCCACCGTGAGGCTGCGGGCGGCCGAGTCCCCCACGGCGGCCGCCACCACGCTGCCTTCGGGCTGCAGTGCCAGGAAGTTGCGCAGCCGATGGCACTCCGCGGCCCGCAGGTGGGTGTCGAAGCGCCCGGCTGCTGCTACCCGCCCCGTGCCGGCGTCCAGGACTCGCAAGTTGAGCCCGCGGCTGCCCCACTGCCTCTCCGAGTAATAGGGGCCGTGGCGGAGCCCTCCGGGATGCAGGGTTTTATCCAGGAGGCTCCAGGAGCGGGGCCGCCGCCCGTGCAGCTCCAGCACCCCGCCGCGCCCCACGCCCAGGAATTTCTGCCCGAAGCCGTCCACGGCCGCCCCGTCGGCTGCTCTCCCGTACAGCGAGATGGTGGCCCTCGAGGCATAGGGGCAGCGCTCCGAGCCGACGTGCAGCTCCCCGCCGTCCCGGATGAGGATGTAGCGGGCCCGCAGCGTGATGGGCGGCCCGTGGGGGCGGTCGGCGAATACCACCTTCCCTGAGGGAAGCGGGGAGAGTAGCGGGGTCAGAAGCTGGAAACGTGGGATACCACCCGCATCCATCCCCCTCTCGGTCCCCCGGGCCGCTTACCTCCGTCGCGAATGACGAGAGAGTGGAAAGCAGCCGAGCTCTCGAGCCGCAGGGCCACCCCCCGACCCACCACGGCGTGGCGGCGGGTGTCGGAGCCGGGATGCCACGGGGCGAGGTGCGAGACAGGCTGCGGGCACGGCCCTGCAAGAGAGTTGGGGCAGCGGCAGCGCGGCGATGCGCGGCGGTGGGGGGAGCGGGGGTCGCGGTACCGACCTGCGCACTGCTGCCGTTCGCTGCTCCCGACGCGTCCCGCGGCGGCACCGGCATCGGTGCGAGGGGCAGAAGGAGCGCAGCCCCGCTACCTGCTGCCCCAACACGTGCGGAGCCGCGCCCGCCGCTTCTCCGCGGCTTTGCACGGAGCCGGCGCAAAGACGCATTTGGCTTTGGATTGTTTCTTTTTTCTTCTTCTTCTTCTTTTTTTTTTTTTTTTCCTCTCTTTTTTTTCCTCCACCTAACCGCATACATGGAAACCCCTTCCTCTCCCCGCTCCGTACAACCCCAAGCACAGAGCGGCGACCACAACAACGGGGCGAACAGAGAGAGCCGACGAGAAGGAAAAAAAAAAATACCGCACCACCACCCCAGAGGCAGAACGACTGGAAGCACCGGCGGGTCCCAAACTCCGGCTGCAAAGAGCGCTTACCCAATGCCGGCAGCGCGGGGCCGCAAACTTTGGCGGCCGTCTCCCGGGAGCTCCAGACACGGCTGCTGGGCAAGGACAGAGGCAGAGGTAGGGGCAGGCAGGCGCAGGCAGCTCCCGCTCCTCCACTCCGGCTGCCTCCCCTCTGCCTCCCTATTTATATCCATCTTCCAGCCGCCGGCGGTGCCCGCACTGTTTACAGCAGCTCCGGCTGCTGCTGGCTCCTCCCAGCCGGGAACGATCCCTCCAGCCCGGACTGACATCCGCGGCCGGCGTCCAGATGCTGGGGCTGGGGAGAGCCCCCCTGCCAGGCTCCGAGCCGCTGGGGCTGGCCCAGCATCCCGGGGGGGTACCCTGGGGACTCAGAAGACCCGGCTACACTGTGGGGTTCAGGGCTCGTTTTGGGTCCCCAGGCACAGTGTGTGCTCCCATGGGGTGCCCTGTCCTACAGCTTTCTATGGGGAACATCAGAACCCAAACATCCCCCATGACAGTGGATGAACAGAGAAGTGTCTGTCGCCTCGCCTCATGTCACCAGTATAACCTGAATGCAGAGCCAGAGAATTCCCTTCAGAAAGTACCTCAAAGAAATCCACACGCATTTACCCCTCTAGCATGGCCCACGCTCCTCACTCTTGCAGACACCTGCCCAACCTCCTCCTCCTCGGTGCACATGGCAGTGCTACCACCATGTTTATTTTCCATAAACCAGAATATCACCTTTTCCCCTATCACCTCCTCCCTAGGCTGTAAAACACAGCAGAACAGAACTTCCTGGGGACACCACTTACTTCAGTCACTCCTTCCCATCCCTCATCCCTGCTCTGCGTCCCAACACCCAGCAACAAGGCCAAGCCAGAAGGCAGCAGTGCTCCCACATATGGCCAAAACCAAAGCGCTGCGAAGCCACAGGTGCCGCGTCTCAGCGACAGTTGTGTGCCATCATCTGGTCAAACAGCTTCAATCTGTCACCACTGAAATCTACTCCAGCTGATGATTTCTTCTGACAGAGGGCACAAAGAGGCCGTAGGTACATTAGGAACAGCGGGCAGAACAGAAGACATAACTGCTTCCCTACACCCTGCTCTGTATGCCGGATGCTGGTGGGTGTGAACACAGCTCCCATCCTGGAGGAACACACTGGGAGAGGCTTGAGCTGCCATTTTTGCTGCTGGCTGTTCACTGATCACGCAATGCTGGCACTTCTATTCTGTCTCAAACAGCTTTTGGCATTTTCCTTCCAAAAAGGGAGCAGCATTAGTCAATGTTGTGCCTCGTTCTTATCTGAATGCAGCATGTATGGACAAGAGGTACAGCAGCCTGGGTTTGTGGTTTTGGCAGATAGGTGCATCTGCTGGTGGGAGCTGCAGGCGGGACGAGACAAACAGGAGTGTGTCGTCTCCAATTACCCTGAACCCTATGGTTCTAGGAGTGGAGGTGGAAAGGAACCCAAGCCTTCATTTTACATTTCTCGGGTCCCTTGAAGCCTCATCGATTTGTATTTAAAATATTTACTCTAAGATTCCATGGACTTACTTGCAACCTAAATAAGAGATGGCAATGATTAACCCAACCAACCCAGTGATAGCAGAAATAAATGTCATGCAGACTTTGGTCGGCACTCAGCTCCATGCAGGTCCTATGAAGCTGTTAGCACAGCCAAAGGTGACTCTGGTTCCTATGGGTCTTTTTTGGAAAAAGAACCCTAGATATGGACAGGGTTCAAATCCTTCACAGCCATTTCCCCTGCGGCCTCAAAACCCACATAAACGCACTGCTGAGAGCCCTTTCCAAGAGAAAGAATCCTCCTTGGAGGTGAACTATCTGTTTTCTGCTGTATTAAGCTTTCACCGGCTGAGGAGGGAGATTATAGAGCAGATCATGGGCAGATCATCTCATTTCTTTGAAGAGTGCCACCTCACTTCCAGGAAAGCACACACATTCTGCATATTGGTGCCTGTTAGCTAAAGCCCTTTCCTTTTTCCTGCAATGGGAAACCAAGACAGCCTACCGCCTTCTGTACTTCTTCCCTGAAAACAGAAAAATCAATCCGATCTCACAGGGTGGCTCCCGAAAGTGTGTTTCCCGGGCACACTCCCTGGCTGACCGCTATCCTGTTTCCTTATTGCCACCCGGGGAAAGGAAGGAGAAGCGGAGTCAGCGTCCCCTCGGCAACGCCCGCTCCCACGTTCCCCCCTCCGCCGCCCGAGCGCTGCCGGCCCCGCGCTGCTCCACCGCCGGCCGGTAGGGGGCGCCATTGCACAGCCCTCACTGCAGCGCCGTCCTCCGGCCCCGCGGCGCCGCTCAGCCCCGCGGCCCCGTGACTCAGGCAGCTCCTGCAGTCCCCCTCACTACATTAGCAACGTTTCTTCAATATGTTTTTCCCTGCGCCTCTTCTTCGTTGCACATCTGCCATCCTCTGTGGTTTTTTTTTTTTGTTTGTTTTTTTTTTTTTTTTCTGCCTTAGTTTTGTATTTTCCAAAAGCATTTCCACAGACAGCCCCCGGTACCCAGCAGGGCACTTCATAGAATCATTAAGGCTGAAAAAGAGCTTAAGTTCCAACCCCAGCCCAGCCCACCGTGCCCACTGACCACATCCTCAGTGCCACATCCCCACGGTTCTCGAGCACCTCCAGGGATGGTGACCCCACCACTCCCTGTGCATCTGTGCATCACCCCTCTTTTGGAGACAAGATTTTCCCTAATATCCAACCTAAACCTCCCCTGATCCAACATGAGGCCACTCCCTCTCATCCTATCGCTGTTACTGGGAGCAGAGGCTGACCTCTGCCTCACCACAACCTCCTTCCAGGGTGTGTAGGGAGCGATAAGGTCTCCTCTGCACCTCCTCTTCTCCAGACTGAACCATCCCTGTTCCCTCAACCAGTGCCCACAGGACATGCTCCAGACACTGCTCCCTGCTCTTGCTGGCTGCACTATTTCTGTTAGAAGCCATTGGCTTTCTTGGCTACCTGGGCTCAATGGTGGCTCATGTTAAGCTGGCTGTAAACCAGCACCCCCAGATCCTTCACTTCAACAAGGAAGCAGGAAGTGCTAGCCTAGCTGCACCCCAGGTGCTGGGAGCAGCACACTCCAAACGTGCATCAGGAATGCACTAAGGCTGCTGTGGGCCTGGCAGCCACACTGGGCTGGAGATGTCACCACAACGTGGCTTTTAACACTCGCAGACAGCACAAACACAGCTCACAACTGACCAACTGCACAATGCCCTCCTAATATCTCACCGCTGGAGTACCTTCAGCCCCAGCCAGACAATCAGAATCATTTGAGGTGGAAGGGACCCTTCAAGGCCATCTGGTCCAACTCCCCTGAACTGAACAGGGACGCCTACAGCTGATCAGGTGCTCAGAGCCCCGACAAGCCTGACGTGCAGTGTCTGCACGGATGGGGCACCCACCACCTTTCTGGACAACCTATTAACCTGGGCCATGGCTCAGACAAGCTCCGGGGCCTGTAAACCAGAGCAGCCCCACCTCACTCAGTGGTGCAAGACACAGGATCAAAAAACACCTCTGTGAGTACCTACCACTGTGCTCTGCTTTGGGCTTTGGTGGTATCTTCCTTGCTTTCAGCATGTGCTCCTTGAGCAGAGCGAAGACCTTGTGCTGCTGGCCCTCAGTGAGCACGCCCATGTTCCCCAGCAGCCGCAGCATCCTGTGCAGCAAGAAAGGCCTCAGCTTGTGCCGCACCATCTTGAGGGGACTGACGTACATGTTGGGTATTTTGGGTAGCTTGGCATCACGATCACAGTTGTACAACCGAAAGAGGTTCCAGGCCAAGCCAGGTCCAAAGATATCCACTGAAATATATCTGGAAAGTTTGAGGAGCACATCACAGGACAACTGCTTCTCTTGTGACTTCTGGCCCAGGTTCTGACTTAGGGAACTTCTGCTAGTATTGGGATGGAGGAAGGGGCTGGGTCTGTGTGGTTCCACAGTTCCAGGCAGGGTGCTTTGACTGTGCAGCAGTTCTTCGTGTTCCACATCCCACCACGAGCTGCTGGGACCCGGGTTATGCTCTGAAATAGTCATAAATACAGCAAAGCTATTACACATGAGCAATGAAGAATCCTGGTGGGTCTATATACACACACATACACACACTTCTATTAATGTTTTGCAGTGTCCCTGGATGCACCACAAATCGTTGAATCACTTTGACAAACTCACTGTGTGCTTCTCCAGGTCAAATCAATATATTTGCAATGGGTAGATTTTGAGGTACAATAGTGGGATAATATGTATATAATTAATGTTTTCTATAATGCTTTATATGCATTCTAAAATGTTTATAACATTCTCTATAATGCTAAATGGCTGAGCAAAGTCATTGCCCTGATGCAACAGGGTTAGGCTGTGGCTTCCTCCTATGGACAAAAAGCATTGCTGTAGGAGATTTGGGGCTCCGTGGAGCTTATACTTGCTTTGAGGCAAATATGTAACTACTCCCACACAGCACTCCTCCATCCAGGCTGAGCCTGAAGGTTCAATTTACACCCTGAGAAATGACCGATAAAACAATCAAATTCAGCATCATTAGGCTGCGACCTTGCTAGAGACTCAGGAACATCCATGAAAGCTCTACTGATGAAAAAGGATGAGGAACCCGAAGATGAAATGCATCCTGCCCACAGAGTTTGGAACAGTTAATGCTTTAGCATAAGGACATACCACTGAATGCTGGAGGTCACGTCCCTGAGCCCTGGAATGTGCCCGCAGTGCTCGCACTCATTGCTGAGCAGCAGATGAAATGTTCCATTTCCTACAGGTCCAGCATGGCTGGAAAGCTTCAAATATTTTCTATTTGATTTCAAGATTGGAGTTATCAGCCTCAAGTAGTTGCGGCTTACCATCCAGGGGATTATTTGCATGTTTTAACCAAATTGGTTATATATCACACCGCTGTGCTAGAGGATTATGTAGCAAAGTGCACATTTATGGCTGTAATTCATCACTGAAACATAACCCTGTACTACCGGGAAATGGCAAGATGTGACCACCGAGACCAGATGGCAGCGGGTAATTCAGGAGCATCCCAACGGCTGCAGCACTTTGCATCCTTCATTCAGAGCAATCCAGACATTGCGAGAGAACAAAGCACCGCGTAAAGCATGACTTTGATTGCACAGAACTTCGGATGCTAAAAAAGCTCCGAGGAACTAAAGAGAAAGGGAACGATCGCACGCAGCCACGTCCAAAGCCACAAGCAAACCGCGGCGCCCAGCAGAGCCCAGGCGGGGGGTCAGCCTCCAGCTCCCTCCCTTCGGGCAGCCGTCGGTGCCGGCAGTCGCACCCACCTCCCGGCAGGGGCAGCCCCAGTCCTGCACGCAGCTCCCATCACCGCCTTTAAGGCAGCCCCCAGCCCAGCCGTGCTTCAGACGGCAGCACGAGTAGCCCCGGGCCGGAGCGGCACCGCCTTCCTCTCCCTCTCTCCTCCTCCCCCCACCAGCACTGCCCACCCACCCCCCCGCTCCCCGGAGGCCGTCACCGTAACGCCGCTGCCTGGGGACGCTCCTCGCCGCCTCGGGTCGGGTTCCCAGCACCGCCACCAACACCAGCACCAGAGTGCAGCTCCTCGGGGGGCCCGCGGCCGTCCCCAGCCCGGGGGGGGCACCTGCAACACACACGCGGCGTTGGGTCGAGTCGGGTCGGTCTCCCGCTGCTTCCCTCCCTGCCCCTCGCCGTTCTGCCTCGCTCACCGGGCGGCATGTAGGGCTGCCGGAGCCGCGCTGGATGGATGCTCTGTGGCTGCCGAGGCTCCTGCAGCCGCTGTCAGCGCAGCTGTGCCCGCCGCCCCCGGGGAAGCTGCAGGCACGGGGCGCGCACTGCCCACCCCGCGGCTCCTGGCAGCCCTACAGGGCGGGCAGCGTACCCACAGCGCAATGAAATCCTGAAAGCAGCACGTTTACCCTTACAGGAGAACAACCTGAGGAGGTGAGGGCTGTTCTTTTCTTTTCTTTTTTTGAGAGAGAGAGAGAGAGAGAGAGAGACAACATGCCACCACAGTATGGTTAGATTGCAGTTGGACTTGATGATCTTGAAGGTTTTATCCAACCTGAGCGATTCCACACATGCTGCTCCAACATTTTCTGCAGAAATACTTTGGTTTCTGCAAACTCACACCTGGCAGAGACAAGCAGCACTGCTGCCCCAAGGAGCAGCTCGTCTCTGCTGTAACAAAGTTGTGAGACCCAAATATTTCACAGCTGAAAGCAATCTCTCAGTCTGAAATCCAACTCAGTTTGGAGGAAGACGTCCTGCAGGACTTGGAAAGCAATACAGGTGCAGCAGGTAATTTGGGGCTTGGCTCATCCACCACCAGAACTATTCTCCTCTTCATCAGCACCAGGACAAACCACCACGGTCACAATGCAAATTACAGCACCAGATGGTGGGGGATTGCACCAAAAAGAAAGGGTGGATATGGAGAAATCTGTGAAACGGACGTAAATAAGATCATTAATTTACGAGAGCAGAACTGGGGGAAAGGATTTTCCAGATGAGAATAAAGGTTTAGTGCTCAGTAAATAACCCCAGGAAGAGTGGGTTGTTTCTTTACTGTGTTTAACACCAGATAGTAAAAGCAAATGTGATATGGGTTTATTAAAGGGATGGACAACACTACATGTAAATACAGGTTTGGGTATTTCCATAGCAGCTGGGTCAGTGCCTGGAGCAGAGCTGCCCCACACTGCAGTAGGACACAGAGCTGGGGTAAAAAGCACAGCAGAAGCAACAGGGGTGAGAGATCTCGGTGCAAGCACAAGTTAACAGTTACATAAACCTCAAAGGATACACATCCAACCCTGTGCAAAACAGAACCTCTGAAGGCGAAACCAATATTTTGCTCTGTTTCGAAGTACAAACCTCAGGCAGCTCCTGATAGGAGAGCACAACTCACCTCCTTGGAAAAAAAGAGTCGGAGTGCAGATGCCGTTGCGCCGTGTAAACAAAGTTAGCGGGTCACACAGGAAGAAGGGGTGGAAAAAAATGTTACTTATTTACACTCCTGGAAGGCCCGTTGCATAATTTACCCAGGCACACACACAGCCATCTTCACAGTGACACCTCGGCAGCTCTAAAATATGCATAGCAAGTTCTCGTGAAGGCCCACGTTATGCATTTAAATGAGTCCATGTTAACAGTTTGCTGCAGCAAATGACTTTTTTTAGCCCAAAAGTTTCTCTTTCATGACCTCACATCTTCCCCTTTTTCCTACATCTCAAATTCCTATTCCTTTAAGCAAACGGGGACCTGAAATCTGCTGTCTGGTAAACCAGTTCATGAGTTGGCTGCAGATTTTAACTAATAACCCTAATGCTGATGGGCAGCAGGCTCTGAAATGCCCAAAACAGTGATGCCTTGGTACAGGGGAGAAGCTAAAAGTTTACACAGCATAAAGAAGGCCACTACTATTTATTTTCTTTATGGGACTTGCCAGGAAACATTAAAAACATCACAACTCACCTCAGAAGCATTCAGTGGACACAGAGCTGCAAGGAAAATGGTTTAAGGGACCCAACAGGTGAACAGATCACCGATTTAGAGGGAAGAAGCCCAGAGCACCACTGATGCACCACTGGGGCATTTAATACTCAGCCTGAACCACACAGTTGCAAGCCCCATAGTAAGAGCCCAACTGACTGCACACAGGTGAGTGCCATCATTTCCCCTTACTCCCCACACCACTGAGTGAAAATACCTTTTTCTTTCCTTTGAAAGTAATAGCACCAAGGCAGCTTCAACGACTACAGACACACCTGCAGTGCTGACCATCCACTGCAGGTCTGTCACAAGGTCTCACAACAACTTCAAACTTTTCTTCTGGGCCACAGCACAGAATTATAGAATGGCCTGGGTTGAAAAGGACCACAATGATCATCTACTTTCAACCCCCTGCTATGTTCAGGGTCACCAACAACAGACCAGGCTGCCCAGAGCCACATCCAGCCTGGCCTTGAATGCCTCCAGGGATGGAGCATCTGCAACCTCCTTGGGCAACCTGTTCCACTGCATCACCACCCTCTGTGTGAAAAACTTCCTCCTCACATCTAACCTAAACCTCCCCATCTCAGTGTAAAACCATTCCCCCTTGTCCTATCGTGTGCTTATCTGTTATTTAAAGAACAACCAGATGCCATTTAAAAGTAATCTCTTCAACATTTGATTTATATACCAAGCTGCAAGGAAACAAGGCTTTCCATTCAGGATAGTTTTCCTGGCAGGAAGGAATTAACATGATTCTTTGCCTTTTCTTGCAGTGGGAAAACGATGCTCCAAATAAGATTCAATAATGCAGCGTGATCTAATCCATGCATCCTTTATTCCATTACAATCACTGTGTTGCATTCCAGCAACAGGACACAAACTGCAATCAACCGCGATCAATTTGTACAACAATCTGAGGCTTACAGTACATTTAAGGCCTTAACATTTGGAAAAATTAGACCTATGCTAGTAGTGTAACAACTGTGTTTTGCATTTCTGATGCATAATCTGTGCGATTCCAGTGTCAGAGAATCAAATCAC